ACGGCGTTCCCACACGTGATCTGATGCGGATGCATGACCGAGCGCCTTCAGCTAGATGAGTCCATTAGAGCTAATGTGGTCAGCATGCAATGTCGAAAACTTACAGAGCTATTTATTTTGGGGATTTTTTTACCGCTACAAAGTGTTCGAATATCCTCACAGTTGGCTCACAGTTTGTCCAGCAGACATCGATCTTCATTGCTTATTGTTGACCTTTAACCAGTCATCGTTTACTTCTTTATTTTGGTTTTATCTCCCATTGATTTTATTCTCAGTCCTATATTTGTTCATAATTTTTCTGAGTAATTGATAGATTGGTCGATTTCAATGTGTTTGTTGATTGACCAATGTGTCAAGATTCTAAAAATTCTCTTGTGTTTTTAAAATTGCATCTACCCAAGTCCTCAACATTTTCCCAATCGAGTGTAAGTCCACGGTTGTCCACATGCATTGATATAAGTGAGGATATGACATATCATTCACCTGAGCTACAAATGTTCTCTACCACTGTTGTCTACTAATAATATTGACCATGTGTTTAGGTTACAAATTAAATAAACAATCACTTTTCTTGGCATTTAAAGCTAGCCAGTATTAATTTGTATCTAGATTGCTGTATTTCTTTGTGGAGTTCGTAATCGATTTGAGGGTATCTGTCAAGTGGGTGATTAGCCCGTTCTCTAACACCCAGGTCATCGCTGACGTTATTTCATGAGTCATTCTTCCCACTATCCTGCAGGCACGACGCGGACGTGTGAATCCGATTTTGTATCTAGACAGAATCTCCAAGTTCATTGCCCTGTGCATATTGATAGGCCTGAGGTATTCTTGCTAAAGAAATTAGTTCAATCTCTTCCCTTTCAATGATGATAATCTCTAGTTGTACAAATTAGCTGTCTACTCTTTTTTAATGCCTTACCTTGAAAATGTTTATTACTAATTCGATGCTCTCTCTAACGAAATTTCAATGTTCAATTCATGTTATAACATTCATCAACAAAAGTAATATTCTTTATCTAATAACTGTGTTACTACTAGTAAACTTTCCGATCTTCAAATTGGTTCTGTTGATAGGTTTGTAAATGAGAGTAGCACTGGTATTCAAAACTGTATGTAGTGTGTTAAAATCTTGGGTGAAATACCAAAACATATTCAGTAATAAGAAACGGTTATGACAAACCATCAGTGAAATAAATTAGAGACGAAAATGATATTCAGTTATGGTTTTGTTAAATGGAAAATTAACAGAAGTGGTCAATGTAAAGCACTAGTTTAGCACCAGCTTAGTCGTTTAAAGACATCACATTCACAGCGAGACCTGATGCTACTGGATACAACATATCTAGATTTCGCCAACATATATGTTATGAGCATTATAATAAACCATTCACTTCATAGTCTCTTCATGCATATCGATAAATTACAAGTTACAAGATATAATGGGAATTATTCTACATAATTTTGTTTCAATCCAAATCCTAAATGATTGTCAACATCTTAGAATTCATTAGATAATCAGTTTAAGTAATTATTAATAATAACCTGATCTAAGGTGATTAAGAACAACATATATTAGCGAACAATATTGTTTTCGATTAGATACTCATCAGGCTTGATTCAATGTTACGTAATGGGAAATAGGTTAATAATTTGGGAAATATGGACACTTAAATAATATTCATAGAAAGATTATGAGATTACGTAACAAGAAGTTTTCAGATAATTGCACCGTGAAGTGTATATTTGAGAAAAGAAAAGGGTGGGAGGGTATGAAGAGAAATAAGCGAAGAAAGAGTATGAAAAATAACAATAAATATATAGTCATTTATTAAGGTCAAGGGAGAGATAAGGGTGTTACAAATTTCTTGCTACGTCTTTTCCTAGTTTACTCTTCAGCTGGAAGCTGGTTTGTTTTTTCCCACAGTAGGCGGAGTCTGATGCTATCTGGCCAAATGATATTGAGTATCTTGCGTAGACAACTGTTTATAAATACTTGCACTTTCTTGATGGTGGTTGTGGTGGTTCTCCAACTTCCAGCTCCATATAGTCTTAACGTTCGTATTGATTGAGTAACACCATGAGTTTTCGACTTAAAGGTCTAATCCACAAGGCAGTGGAGCAATGTAAGTAGATGCATTCCCATGGTAGCCGGTGGCTGATAATTGGCTCATACGCCGTGTTCCCCCAGAATACTGGAGCTCGTGTGCAACATTGGCTTGGAGTTGGGTTTTCGAACACAAACTCATCAATTGGTTTACCATCATTCCCTGAATTCAACGCCAGTAGGTGCAAGCAAATGCGTGGTCGTATTAGAGCATGATCAGTCTAAATGTGTATTTCAGAACGAGGGGAAGTATTCTGTCGAGCTTCTCCAACGGTAACCGTTGGGATATTGTCTTTTAGAGTCCATCAATGGTTTGCTGCAGCGGGTCGCCATGTTAGACGACGTCTATCCTTATGTTTAAAATTAGTGCTTGTTAGAAATAAACGATTGTCTGAGCACAGTTGCAGCAGACGATCACCATTATCTGTTCACTGAGCCGGAATACCATAATACCCACCTAAATGTTCTTCTGTTTTATTCAAGCAATCTACTTAGGCACTAAAGTCACCTGCTACATGTACTATATCTGACTGTGTAGCTTTTTCAGGACGTTCAGGAAGCTTTTCGTAAAATTCATCTTTAACTTCATACAGGCTGCAGTCAGAGGGACCGCAAGTAGAAACGACGAAAAAGCAACGTTGTGTGACCCTGTCCTTCCGAGTTCTGACGAAGCACATTGGCGACCTTTAACAAAGATCCATTCTAATAGTGCTTGTTCTACCTTCGTACTTAATGCTATGCCTACATCTGTCAGTCCACGAGAACTAGCCATAGGATCAACAGATAAACGGAGGGTGTATCTCATGATCTCCCCGCTTTTGGAGTGGTGAGGTCAAGTGAATGATCACAATAGGATCCTATATGCGCGTTTCAGAGACACAGCATGCATCAATCGTACTAGATTCCAAGGTTTTAGCCAGTTGGCCGGTTTGACATGGGGTGCATACGTTAAAGGCTCCAATATGTAGTCTGGAGCGACTTTTCAGTATATCTGGAACAGCGTTGACCATGATGACACTTGAGAAGGAAGCCGTAAGAGGAAGTTTAGAGGTGAAGGTCGACGTAGGAGGAATAATAGGAATTGAAGTGGGCTACTGATTATGAATACAGTGATCTTCAATGTTGTTAAAGGTATGAGAGCGGTTATCGATTCTCGTTTGTCCACACCATGAAAGGGTTCCTCTACAGGTACCTGAAAATAATTGGGTTAGAGGTGGTCTTAGTGAACTGAGGGCGTGACGGAAAGTAAACCAGCAACTCAATAACAGGACGAAGATGAGCCATTCCTCTGTGCCCCAGCCCATGTAACTAGAGGAAGAAGAGCAGAGTAATCAGGGAAAATATATAATTTCACAAACAGGTTGGAAGAAAGAATAACAAGCATTCAACTTATGGGTAGTTTATGCCACACAAAATATCCTTGAAAAGCCTTACATAATGGCATGCTAAAAGAGAAAACGAACCAGAGACATTTAAGATCCCTCCAAGTCTGAAACACAAACTGAAGGTAATAATGAAGGAAAATGAAATTCAAATCTTCATAAATAGATTGCAAATATAAGGAGTTTACCGAGTGATTTCTGAGGGATCTAGCACCCCTAAAGAGGATTATTTAGATCAAAAAGGCAGCACATATCTTTGGAAATCATGTTCCAAGATATAAAAGACAGTATCAACTCCCCCCAAAATTTCACACACGCTCTTCTGATAATTACCAGCCAGAAAAGAAATCAAGTCTGCGTTTGATTGTAGATTGTCTTAATCAATCAGCATTGCATATTTCAATATTGAATCAAATGCCACAAAGCATTCCTTAGCATCAAAACCATGAAGTGGACAATTTTCAAATGCATAGATATATAACTGTTCAATGAAATGAATTCAACTTATTATCCTGATAAAGTACAGAACTCTATAAGGGCTCCAAACATATTCTATACGTCACTAAATATGATTCCTGTGCTAAAACATTCTTGTTCATTTTTGTCAGTTTCATCTCTTCCTTTCACTCAATCATTCTGAAAATAATTATAACTTACGTGAGCGGGGAAAGCCTTTAATTATATTCTTACTGTGAATCAGCATGAGTGATGGTTTTGTCAAGCAGGTTAATATTGCAAAAGATTTGATAAAAGTATGTAAGTTTTATTAGGACTGCTTTAGCATGGAAAGAGTTAGTGATAAAATAGATCCTTCGGGTGGTATGATGTTCTCTGATATAGGTTGTATGGTTGCAGTGATTATGTCGTCCAGATGACAGCAGCACGTAATCAAACAGTGTAGCTCAGCATAAGTAACATCTTTAAAAAGTCAACGTTGAAAATTTTTCATTCAAGAGTGGAACTCTCCAAAGAAGAACTTGGTCATCGACGTCTTACACAATATATACTAAATCCTCAAGTTAATTGATGAATCACTATCACGTCATCAGATTTCCAAGATTTCGTGTCTACGAATTTCCAATCTCTAATTCTTCCCTCTCCCTCCCAGCAGAACAATAACGGTCTAATTCACGCCCTAGGAGGCGTTCCCATGAAACTGAAAAAGTGGAGTGAAATAACTATGTACAAATCAGGTCTGACATGGTGTTTATTCTCAAACCTACTGACATTGGTGATGAAAATCATATTCAAACTAGGCGAATGTCAATTAACACTTTCTATCATTTAGAATACACTATTTCGTTTAGACGGTCTCAAAATTGTTATTTGTAGTTGAACAGCAATTATGTATTTTTTGCAGTAGCAATGAGACATATCTAATTTTCAATGAATGATACTGTAGTTGTTCTTGTCATTATAAGTCAGCGAACTTTCAAAATTATCGCTTTCAATGACACTCATACAGCCAATCTTAATACTTACAGTCTTTTCTTACATGTCTTAAAAAACGAGTGATTGAATCAATTTTCGTTTTCTATCTCTTTAGTCATCTAGGTCAATTTGAATGACACCTCTTCACAAGTTCATCAGCTAAGTAACTGTTTGCACCAAACACTGAACATAACACAACTCCTAGTCGACTACTCCAACATTCAATAGAGCCATATTACAATTACAGCTGATTACACTAATAATAGTAATAATAGTAATAGCTTAAGATAGTGTGTTTTATCACAACTACATTTGAATGGAAAGATAACATGGACAGTATAACACAGACATGACATTACAAATATCATACAAATCATCATAGATTTAATAAAGAAAACCAATGGTTTGCATACAATTTACATATATATTTCGTTTACCTAATTGTCATGAAAAATAAAAAGAGATGCAGAATCAAATCATTTAAACTTTGTGGTCGGCAGCCTATGTGCTGCATTGGGAGTAACAGGCATAAGTAAGCAAGTAAGTTATGTAGTCAATTAGCAATGCCCAAAACTCTCCATTACACGTAATCCGTCGATTCACAAGAAAAGTTTAGGAAAATAATCTCGAAAATATAAAAACTCAAATGAAAAAAATAAAGTGAATAGAATGATCAGAAAGAAAATTCAATCACAAATTAGACAAAATGTACAAGAGAAAAATATTGCCGTCAGAAAGAAGCAACCGAACATCGGAAATCAACGTTTATCGCATTTAATCAACAACAGAAAGCTCTAGATGGATGAATAGGCTACACGATCTTTTTGCATACGGTGACTTTATACAATAAGTGTTAGTGTAGCACAACAAAATGACTGTTTACCAACAATACACAATAAGTCTATGCTTCATCTTTTATCTTCAACTGGATGGTACAATACGGAAAAGTTTTTGTAATCCAATCGTGATGTTTACTGAAAAAACAAACAAAAGATTGAAAATAAAAACAAACAAACAAACAAAGAAGAAGGAGAATATCAACAAAATCTACAACTCATTCGATGATGTTGTTGAATTTGGCTAATCGTAAGGAAGTTTGTTTAGTTCAATCATCATCGAATCATTTCAACAACTTTGAATTGATTTTTATCTCATATGAGAATTTTTATCAGGTCAATTACACATTAACTTGTTGAGATCAATGGAAGTTATATGAAGATTCTGTTGGGACGTCTTCCGAGAACTACGACGGAGCCTCCAAAGGCTCAGGACGTGACAAACTGTCCCGTCCAAGCAGAACGTAGTGGAACTTCCTAGAATACCAACGTGGTATAGGACTATTAGTCAGTAGCGTATTATGCATCTTTGCGGACTGGTTGAATTATAATGTGGATTTAACAAATGCTAATATCTGTTAATATCCGTGATTTTCTGTACATTTTGGTTTTTGCCCAACAAGCACTTTATACAGTTTTCCTCTATCTTCTCGTTTGAGACTTGTGAGGGTTCTAGCGTTCGAGTGCTCAAATTGTACACAGTAAATTAAAAGACTAAGCTGTAGATATAACAGATTTAATTTCTTACCGTTTGTAATGCATTGAAAAGCAATCGGTTTTCACATTAAAAAACTATTCCAGTTTTTTGTCACAAACTATTCTGACTTCAACTAATCCACGAAATCGGGCGACATGTCCACCGCTGACTTTAGTGAGTTAATATCTCACAACAAACCCGGTTAGACTCCACTGATCACTGCTTCTCACAAGAACTCCACGAAACACCTCTTGAAGCCAGTCATTAGTGAGCATATGTTGAATAATATAAAAAGGGGCTTTTTGTCGATAGTATAGTAGATTTAATAGTTGAGATCACAAGTCAATTGAAGCTAGACCACCATGGAAAACCTGGAAATTCTGGACGGCCGTTTCGCCATATTGTGGGACCCTTCAGCAGTGCGCATCTATGACTCCGCATCGCGAGATTGGAAACCCAGGACCCATCGGTCTCATCACTCATGATCTCATCTATTAAACTTACCGTTATATCCACAAAATCCCTTCTGACATATCATTTTACTATTGGATTATTGTATTGAAACCTATTGTCCTAACTGTATTTATCACTGTTCTGATCAATCTTATCTTTGTTATTATTGCCAATCTCTTGACCGATGGATGACCTAATAAGAAACATCATGTGTCATTCATTTAAAGAACGAATATTATCATTTGACTTGAGAAAAAGCCCTTTTTTAGTTTATTAACAATTGAAAAACATTTTCACAATAAACAAAATGGAATTCGAATAATTAGGGACTAGAGCTTATTAAGCATGTGTATTAGAAGTTGACACAGAAAATGTTGGTTGTCATATCTGAAATAACAACAATTATTAGAAATCAATATTTGGATTTGGAGATCTAATAAGAAGACTGAATTATTCAAAGGTTATACGTAAATCAAGCCTCATAATTTCTTTTCATTTTAACTCAAATGTTCATGGCATCGAAGTGATTGTAGGCATGTTGACCGAGTGTTGTCCAATTTAATTAAATCAAACATTTGTATAGGTGTATAAGATTACGAATCCGGATTGATGGTTAACTGGCTAAAACATATGCGTTCCAACAAACAGATTGCATATGCAAACCTCGTTACACTTATTTCAGTTTGGGAAACCAGGCAGTGTCTCTTGCCCTCAGATAAGACAAGTATGTAACTCGGAGTTGACTACATAAACCAATAACTGATAAGTCAGTTACACCGAACGCGTCTGAAAATATTTAAATTATGGGATATGAAATGTGACTTGACAAAAATACTCACTCATTTTTTCCTGGAATGATTTCGGTTTAGGACTCCATGCACAACCGAGTATATAAACCGGTATACCAGTTAAAATGATCAAAATACCATATACTATAAAGGGATAAAACAATCGAAAATTCAGTAAAGAAATGTAATCATTGTTATACTAGGAAAATAAACCATTCCTGCAATCAGTTCCATTTAACTAAAATAATGAGAAGATTACTTCATCTTTCAGTGATACAGATTAAGTAGTTTTCCGTAAAACTTCAATTTCGATCATGATTTAAGTCATGAAGTGACCTATCAATAAACGACAAGAAGAACCATGGGAAAACTGAACTAGATTTTTCTTAGTTCTGAGCTATCTCAACAATGAAGAACCACAACAACCTATAACATCGAATACATGCGATATTTTGGTCTTGTGTAGGAACTTCGGTTTATATACCACTGAATAGCAAAAGTTTAGTTCAGCTATCCTACTAAGACTAGTATTTGCTAGCTAAATACCACGATTCTACTTGAATGTAATCGATAAGTTATGATCTCGTCTCTCGCCATTTCGACTCAGTAGCTCAAAACTTAACAACCAACCAACCAACCAACCAACTCGAAGGTAGTCACTTATGAGATTGTGGCTGCTTAGTTGGCTGTTTCCAATCCAACCTCCACATTGATGGTTAAACAATATAACGAACTGTTATTCCTACATTTAGAAAGTAAATATACGAATGTGTAAAACATAATTTATAACAAATGACCTACATGATTCTCGAGGTGAGCCATAAAAAGAGAAAATTAGGAGAGATGCAGTAACTACTAAGTAGATAATGGCAAATATTATAGGAGCCTGTAATAAATAAAAATAATGAAAAAATTAAAATATTATAATACAGCAGTATTATTAGTAATAGTGCTACGTATATCGACATAAGTAGTATATAACTCAAGTCAGGAATACAATGTCTGGCAGCTGAAGGTCGTGAAGATCGAGGAGGAGAGGACGAGAACAGAAAGAAACTCGTAAAGAAATGCAGGAACCATGAAGTCTGTGACGATTGATTGTCATTTTGCAGATGAAGTATTTAGTGCATGGTTCTCAGATTTTACTAAGATTTTCTGTAATGTTGCATTAAATTACGTTCGATTGACCCTACTCGTGTTCCCGTTCACTATATCTGCAGTAGAAAGGATCACTGCATTAGTTTAAAACGATTTACAAGGTTTACTTCAAAATTTTTATCAATGTAACAGCTTTAAAAAGATTTTTCTAATTTTATGTCAGTTCATAAAACAAATGTCTAATTTCAACATCGTACACAACGAATCTTCCAACAGAATACTAATGGTTGGATAGAAAAAGTAATGATGAAGTGGTAAAATAGACGCAAAGGCTAACATAATCATGTAATGCTGACATTGTACAATTTACTAAAGTTGTCGAAAAGAAAAGTTGACTAGAACTAGTCATGATTCATAACAATTCGATGCAATCATATAATAATTTATTATTTGAATTCATGAGTCACAATTGAAGCCAGACCACCATGGAAAACCTGGAAACACTAGATGGCCGTTTTGTCCAAGTATGCGACCTCCTCAGTAATGCACATCTACGATCCCACCCCGCCGGATTCGAACCCAGCACCTATCAGTCTCGAGCGCGAACGCTTAACCTGTAGACCACTCAGTCGGCCGGCATCCGACGGTGTTAATGTCTAAATCCAACCAATCCAAGATATTGTGCCACCTCTACCGTGGTCTAGCTCAATTGACTCATCAATTCAACTATTAAATTACTACAATCTTCACAAAAACCACTCTCTCATTATAATCATGGTATCTTAAGGAATAATACCACAAAACTGTTTCAAAAATTTTAATTTACCTTAACCGGACGTCGAATATTACGACGAGTAAATCGGAAAATTACTACAATCAGAACACAAAGACCAATTGCCAACCACTGAACAAAACCCAAATAATTCATAAGTGTGAAAATATCTCCAACAAGTAAGTAAATTATTGATACGATACACTAGAAGAGTAATTAACAAAAATTAAAAATAAGCAGTGAATTCATTTAAATCACAATTTATAATGATAATCAACTGCGTGGCCTGTTTGAATATCTGAGCTACCTGTTCCTGACATCTGGATATTTCAACAAATTATTTGTTTTCTTGTTTGTCGCAACACATCATTATGCCTATTAGTCGCATAACCTATTCAGGCACGTTTGTCAAAAGTTTACGACATTTCACTGTGCAAGTTAAAAAAGAACCCAATCAGAGGCATCGCGGTTGCTAGCAATATGCATCGAAAAGAATATAGATTGTTCACATGTCGAGTCCTGAACTGTTAACATATAACTGGCTACAACTCAATATTTATCGTAAGGGACAATCAGGAAATAAGTAAAGAAAACTCATTAAAATAATTTGTGCTGAGATTTCCACATTGTACCAAAAACATAATATTCAATGAAGTCACTAATAATAACTGAATTGAATTTCGGACAGATCGGGAACAATAAGATTTAAAGTGTAAAATGATTTCGTTATTTCATTTCAAAGCATCTCATCAGCTGAAAAGTCTAAACCTATTCACAATTTCATGATTAGAAATAATGATGTCGGGCGATGTATTATGTAGATTTGTAGTTGATTTTCAACGGTTTCATGTCTCTTTCCAAATGTGTATTTCAACTTCACCGACTAAACTTTGTCTAAACCATGTTTTCATTCGTAGTTTTCTTTGTAACTGTAGAATGAAAATCATTGGTCTTGGTGTATTTCAATACTATAAAGCCATCATTGTCAAAGTGAGCCACAATCCAATTACAATTTCAAACTTACTATCATTAAATGTCATCCTACAACCAGTTTAAACATATTTGACATTGTTCCGAAATAGACATCAAAAGTTCACTTTTAAGACAAACTAACTGATTGATAATGATCGAAATACTTTTTATTATCTATGTATATTCGACGAAAGTAGTGTTATACAAGGAACTCACAGTGAACAGAACAGCCGGAATAGGTGTTAATCGATCCGTGTGCAAGTAACTGATAAACGCTGGCATTTGTTTAAGCTGACTAGCAGCAACAAATATTCTCGATGTAGTTAATATAGTTCCGTTGGCACTACCAAACGTTGAACAAGCAACAAATATTGGCATAATCCACCAAAACATTCCGTATATTCTATTAGCAAATGTCTGTTTTTGTAAGTAAACGGATAAAAGTAAATCCAAATTATTCAGTAATGTTTTTCATAACGATGGAATCATTAAGAAACAGATTGACATTATTCAAACGAGATAATTTTGGGTGTCTATTGAGGGAACTGGATAACGATTGATTTTAACGAAATGATTTATTTAATTGATAAAATATAACTATTGAATTTTAATTTCCTGAGGAGTCTCACAATAGGAAGAAACGGCCGTCCAGTGTTTCCAGGTTTTCCATGGTGGTCTAGCTTCAATTGACTCATGATCTCAACGATTCTTTCATGAAATATTTGTGTGGAATTTTTGGTTTACCGTGGAACAAAAATCATTTACGAACCTAAACACGGCAAGGATATTTATCACACAAATAACGCACTACATAGAACTCATGTATTATATATATTGATTTGGGAAATATTTCATTCAGATACCTTGTTCGAGTACAACGTAACTTGAGATCTGTTATTACTATTTAACAAATAATTACTATTTCTGAGGATTTGAAATAAGTAACTACTCACATTTATACAATAACTTCTTAGAAATCGGATACCAAGATGGGGTGATCTTGAACGGTGAAAATACATTATTAATATTCTCGGTTTATAGAAAAATTGATTAAAAGCATCAATACATCAGTGAAAATACTATTCCACCTACCACAGCCACAGCTCTTGTAGTCAGCATCTCTGCAACCGGTACGACTGTCACATAGGCTACATTAGCAGCTGTGTAAACTAGAGTCACTAGTAAGCACGATACCACTATTGCTATGGGCAAATGTTTCCTGGGGTTCTTCATTTCTTCAATCATACAATTTAAGTAATTCCAGCCAGCATAAGCGAATAAACCACTGTAAAATGCATTAGCTATTTTACCAGGACTCCAGTCTGAATCGACAAAAGATTCTTTCAGCTCTTCATAACGACCTAAACGAAGTTAAGCAATAAAGTACACTGCGTGATACCTAAATGGATTCACTAAATAAATAAATTTATCATCATCAGTGATTACAATCACAAATACATAGAGATTATAGATCCTAGTCAGTTGCTTAGAAGGGATAAAACACGGTGAATTACCAACAGCAATCGGAAAGAGCTGGAAAGGAGAATGTAATTTAGACGACAGATGTGCAGGTTAAACAAGCTAGCTTTTTGAAAACAAATATTGAGTCATTAATTTACCATTAGAAATGAAGTGAATTTTTTTATCAGTGATTTCTGGCCAATCGTTGAACCAAATGAAATATTCAGTAGACGCTCAACTTCTAGATCGACGAGCTGATGATCCGTCGTATACCGCCTAACTCGCTACACTACTCATCATTTTTGAACAATCAATTAAATGGAATTCGTCACTATACATTTCATTCCCTGAGTATGCGAGAGCATTTGATAATGTGGATCAGCAAACTTTATGGAAACTTCGATACTAATATGCACTTGAGAAGATTGCCAGCATCATACGGAATTCATGTGACAAACAAGGCTGCTCACTCTCTCCCTTTCTCTTTCTTCTGCTGGTTGACTGGATTATGAAGACCTCCACATCTGAGGGGAAGTACGGAATACAATGGACAGCTTGGATGCGACAGGACGATTCGGACTTCTCAGATGACCTACCTCTTCTATCCCATACATACCAGCTAATGCAGATGATGGTAACTAATGTCGCAGCAGCCTCGACATCTCTAGGCCGCGAAATACAAAGAGGAGCAAGTAAGATCCTCAAATACAATAGAGAGAACACCAATCCAATCACACTTGATGAAGAATTTCTTAAACAGGTGGAATCTTTCATGTGCCTAACCTGAGGATCATCACCGATGAACGTGGAGGATCCGATGCAGACGTAAAAGCGAGGACTGGCAAAGTAAGGACAGCATCCCTACAGTTGAAGAACATATGGAACTCAAAACAACTATCAACCAATATTAAAGTCAAAGTCTTCAATACAAACATCAAGACAGTTCTACTGTATGGAGCGTAAACTTGGAGAACTACCACGACCATCATGACAAAGGTAGAAGTATTTATAGGTAGCTAGTCGAATAAAATACTCCAGATCTAGTGAACAGATTCCAACAGCAACAACCAACAGTGGCATGGAAAACACTAGTTTCCAGCTGAAAAAAGAAACTAAGAAAAGACGCTGGGGGCTGATAGGACATAAATCGCGGAAATCAACAAACTGTATCACGAGGCAAGCGCTCATTTGAAATACTGAAGGGAAATTTAAACGTGGAAGAACAAACACGTTGCTCAGGGAACAGGAGATAGACAAAAAATGAATGAATAGCGATCGGGAGCGGCTGGAAAGGAAACACAGGACAGAGTTGGTTGGAGAATACCAGTCGATGGCCTACGCTCCACGACGGGTAACAAACTTAAGTACAAAGAAGGATTATTTTGCTGATTCACAGTTTATTGAAGAATCACTCTATTCATATCGAAATCTTCGAAAAAATTAAAGTGCTCAGAGCTGTTATTAGAAAAGTCATCTAATCAAAAAGCGATAACAGAAATGAAATGTTCAAAGGTTGTTGCATTAAAACAACGTTTAATGTAATACATAAACAACCAATCAATTGACTATGTGTACTCTCGAGAAAAGACAGGGAAGATTATTTTTCTCAAGCTTGATTACTAACATTGCGAATTTTAAGATTCACCAAATTAACTTATATCACATAGTCGTACAGATTTGTTCTTGGAAAACTTTTATACAAAACTTACTATTCTGTAAGGAGTATATTATTCTTATTTTAGACTACCTTAACACACTTGTTGCCATTTGGTTTATGTTAAACAACCACTTCATATGAAGTGCTGCACACTAATAAAATCTTCATCTTAAGAATAAACCACTCATAGTTCAGCAAAAATCACACAACAAAACCGACTGTTATTATTATGGATAACAAAAAGTAGTTAAAATAATTTTAACGAATAATATAATTAAATTACCAAATCCAATCTGTACAAATCCAGTTACTATGATCATTATAAGAGCGGCAAGTTTCGCAAGTGTAAATATATCTTGAATTCTGGTTGAAAATTTGATTGAAAACGAATTGGCGAAGCTTAAAAATGCTAAGCAAAATGAAACAAGATGACAAAAAATTGGGAGATTTTCACTAAGATATCATCAACGTGATCGTTTTAAACATTTTCACATGAAAAATCATGAGTAATAGTGAAAAGACAGACCATTGTGAGGTAGTAAAACACTGAAGACAACGGTGGATGCATCGCTCAAATTCGTGGATTGTTTGAATTTAGACATTAACACCGTTGGATACCGGCCTGCTCAGTGGTCTAGTCGTTAAGCACTCGCGCTCGAGACCGATAGCTCCTGGGGTCGAACATCGTGAGGCGGGAACGTGGATGCTCAATCCTGAGGAGTCCTATACTGGGACGAAACGACCGTTCAATGCTTTCGGGTTTTCCATGGTGGTCTAGCTCAAGTGACTCATGCTCTCAACCAATGAAAAAACTACATAACATTCTTCTAAGTGAATTTCTTCCAGTATTTTATCATCAAATTAATTTATCACGTATCGATTCATTTGATACTTTCAATTTACAACTAATTAGATAATAAACGAACCATTTATTATGTAAACAACAAGTAGAATATATTATTGATTCCAAACAGTTCAGTGAAGTTACAGATTGATAACTGCCAGAAGTAATGAAAACTACAAACCAAATAATCAAAGTATTTCAAGTGTCAAAAGAAACAAAGTGTTTGCTGATGTGATACATTTCAATTCATCTGGGATTAATTATGATTAGAGTTTTGTCATTTTACAAATCTATCAAAAGCATAACTTATGATTGAAGGCACACAGTCACGAGAAATTATCACTTCTCATTTTTTCTTTATTCACTCACATCTCATAATTTAACTGTCGTCAGTTTTTCACTTTCTGATTCATATCTCGTTAATTCACATTCTGACACTTTTCTGCACTTATTACTCATCACTCAAACAACTTTCATTCAATTTTACTGGTTTTAGTCCACCAATAATTTCATTCATCATTCTTCTGTCGTACATGTTGTGTGTTAAAATCCCTACAGATCATATACATTTGACGACAATGTCGAAAACAATCAGGATTTATGGTATTTCTCCCAGATGTCATTATACTCTATTCAAATTTAAAGAATAAACGAATTTTGATGCAACGATTCAGGTCATTCACTTTCAGGAACGAAGTAGCTACTTAATAGTGAGTTGTGTTTAGCAGTACTGTTTCACTCTCACCAAACAGTGTTTATCATTTTTATGTTATAAATCTGTACTAAGTAAAGATCTATGTCGAGTATCTTCATCTTAACAACTGCCTTCATTTTTCGCTTATCTAAAATACAAACAGTGCATTTTATCCATTAGAGTGCATAACAGTTAATATTGGTTGAGTATATATTTCAGCACATCTTAATGAATAAATTGGGAAAAACGCTGTAGGAAAATATTTTTAAACCTACTAATACATAAAACTGCCAAAATCCTGACCAACGTAAATGGCAGTGGACAGTCTGGATACAAAGGTACAACAACATACTCCCCAAATGTTAATGCCACAATAGCGATAGTTGCAGGTCTTACAACCATTACTTCCATCCATAAACGCAAAAATCCAATAAATGAACCAAATGCTTCATACACATAAATATAATCCCCTCCGGATCGCTCTATTATTGTGCCAAGCTCTGCATAACAGTACGCTCCAAGCATACTGAAGATCCCACATGCAACCCATATAATTAGACTAGCTCCTATGCTTCTAACATTCAGCAAAATACCAGTAGGACTGACAAATATTCCTGAACCAATCATTGATCCTACTATGATGGTGATACTGGTTACAATACCGATAGATCGCTTCAGTTTTACATCATCTGGTTTATCTACGACAACGGTGATGTCATCATCTGATTTTTTGTTTTTCGCCATGCCACTACAAAATAAAATACATTATAATTTGCATTTTCAGTAGTATAAAGTGATCAAACGACTTTAAATAAAATAACGCGTTATAAAATATGTTTATTTATTTATGGTTTATTTGAACATATAAATATTGGTACAAGAGGGTACGAAATATATCTGCGTCACACAAAAAAATGAGAATGGGAAGAAAAGAAGGTAAGGTGCGTATGGGGAAAAAAATAAAAAAAAAACAATAACGACTACAGATTAATGTAAGTTGGTGTAATGATAATAATAATAACGGTAATATTAATAATAATAATAATAACAATCATAATAACAATGATAATAATAATTATTATTATTATGGGGAAAACGGAAAGGTATATACAGAAGAATTCTTTTACTTAAGATACAACCACTTTTTATGAACATAGTAAAAGAAAGTTACAGAAGGATCGCCACTGGCTTCTATCCATCGACGTCTTGGACGATGGGCAGAATTCTTTGAAGGGCAGTTCAACTGGCCTGCTGTTCCAGCAACATCGTTCAGACTGTTCTCCATGGCCTGTGACGACTGATCCATCAAATGAGGCGGAAGCTTGCTACACATCATCGGGCCCAGATGACTTACTTCCGACTCTTGTTAAAGATGATGGTGACTTTCTGGCCAAGGAACTGACCACGTTGTTTACATAGGTCTGGGAACTAGAGAGTGTACCAACGTCATGGAATGAGTCGATAGTTGTCTCTATCTTTAAAAAGGGTTCACGTCGTTCCTGTAAAAACTATCGGGGGATAAGTCTACTTACGATTGCGTCCAAGCTGTTGGCTTCCGTTATACTTCGTAGGTTGTTCGAAACCAAAGAAGGATTGACTCGTGAGGAGCAGGCTGGTTTTCGTTCTAGTCGAGGATGTATTGATCATATCTTCACCCTCCGCCAAATGTTAGAACACCATCATACTTATCAAAGGCCAACAATCGTAGTGTCTCTTGACATCAAGGCTGCCTTCGATTTGTTGGACAGGACTGTTCTCTGGCATTGTCTATTGAAAAAGGATGTGCCTGAGGAGTTTATTAACATCCTAAAGGCCCTATATACAAACACCTCAGGTAGAGTGAGGGCATACAACCACCTCTCTCCATTATATACATTCAAGCATTGGGGTTAGACAGGGTCGCCCAATCTCACCATTTCTCTTCAACTTTGCCATCGATGACATACTGGAAACAGCTCTGAGGGATGTAAGTAATCGCAAAGTACTTCTACAAGACTAGGAGGATTCTAATCCTGTACTCGCCCTAGATGGTGAGCAGATAGAATTAGTCCAGAAGTTCATGTATCTAGGTAGCTGCTGTAACCTTTTACTTCATGAAAAGTGGTAGTATCTTCCCTAACTGAAAGAATTCTTCTGGTTGTACGTTTTCGTTTTTCCCATTATAATTATTGTTATTGTTATTATTATTACACTAACTTACACTAATCTGTTCGTTATCGTTTTTTAAACTCCTTACCTTTTTTGTTTTTTTTCTTCAAATTCTCATTGTTTTGTGCAGCGCATATATATTTGGTGCCTTCTTGTATTAATATTTATGTGTTCAAATAAAATAAAACAAATAACGCTTGTACTATTCTTCAATACAAAAGGGGAGGGAATACTGCTGTGTTTAGGCCAACTA